GCAAATAACACATTGTCATATTTACTACTAACATCCATCAAATTTTGACAATTGCGACTCCTACTGGTTTGGAGAAACGAACTGCAAAATAAATTCTTATATTTCAGTCCCAAATTACCTATAAATATATGTTTAAAGCCATCTAATTAATTAGATATCATGACCTAAGTTTGGATGCACTTGAAATTATTTTCATCCGTAACAAGTTAATTTTATGGTTGATTAATCATGGAAAATATGAAGCAAACGAAAGGGAAAAAAAGTTTAAAACAGAAAAAGAAAAAAAATTAAGCTTATTTTTATAGTATAGCTGGATCAAAATAAATTATATATATTGTAATTCTAATAAAAATTACATTAACAAAAAAGGCAAAAAAATCAATTTTCATTTATTAAAATTATCTTAAACTTTTCCTTCTTTGTTTTCTTCCTATCTTCCATGAAACCAGCAGAACATAAATGTTTCTTTAACTAATTTTCTAGGAAAAAAAAAACCTGATTTAATCCTATTCGAAATTGGACTCTAAATAAAACAGTGGTATTCAATAGCAGCCATCACGACACGCATAATTGTACGCCAAAAGAACATTTATAGAGATAGTTTTTGATTTAATATATTGTATAACATACTCAATAAAAAATTATTATTTTTTGATATAAAATTAAAAAATGACAAATTTAAAATTTTAGTTATATAAAAATCGATTGAATTGATTGTATTTATATTATATTTTAATGATTAAACTAAATAAACATTAAAAAATGTATTTAATGGAGAGTGTATCAATTATTTTCCATACTAAAATATATAATCAAGTGGTAACTTTTCTCCAATAAAGTAAAAAAGTATTGAATTAATTTTTATTATGCAACTCAAAATAAAAAAATAAAAAAAACCGTCACGTATAGTTTAAAAGTTCAACTTAGATATTTTTTTCATCTTGTTATCTAGTGCTCATTTTTATATAAATTAATTTAATGATTTTATATAAAAAAAATTGACAATTAAATTTTTTCTTTAAATAAAAATACTCAATATGAACCATATAAAAAAATTTAATTGTTATCTATTTGTTATATAAAATCAAAGTCAAAGTTTATATAAAAATCGAACTAAAACATTGTAATCTAACAAAGAGAGTGTTCACTTATAATTAATAACACAATTTGTGGCTGCCAATTCATAATATAGGACCTAGTAAACTCCACTAAGTTCCTATTAATTACTCTGTTTAGAGTTTATGTACTAGAATATACCGAGTAAAACAAAAATCAAATACCTTTTCATGGAAAAGTGGTGTGAGGTTGGAGCTTGTATCATTTATTTCTTCATTTCCATGCCATAATCTGATGAAGTTTGGTAAACGTTGCAATTTCAAGGAGCGTAGCTGGACAAGCTCAAAGTTTTGATTTGCTTCTGCAATATTTGAGTTGCCTCCTTGCCCTTCTTCATCAACAATCTCTGCCATGTTGCTACAGTCCATTACTCCAATTTCTTTGAGTTGAAGAAGCTGTCTAACCACAGAGAATGGAAACAAACTCTTCAGCTGATTACAACATTCAAGAATTATGGTTGTTAATCTGCTAAAAGACGTTGCTCCAAGGCTGCCATGGCATATCTTCAACAAACTACTCAAATTCCGAAGAAAAAGTACTTCCAAGATGGGAAATGCATACTCTACTGAGTTAACGATTTGTTTGACTTCAAGAGCATTTTGGACATAAAGATACTTCAATTCTTGAAAACCTTCAGCATCTAACTCATTAACTACATGATTGATAGATTTCAATCCCTCAAGATGTAGTTCTTCTGTTTTCTTCATCAACATGCCAATTGAATGATCATAACTAATGCTTGTATTCAGTTGCAGCTTCAATATTTTTGAGCTGTTGAAGGAACTATCCCAGCGGTTCCCCACCTCTCCAATGAAGATCTTGTATCTTTCCAATCTTTGAGAAAAGAAGCCTTCTGGTATAAGGTGAACATCACATACATGTATATCCAAAGCAGCAAGGTTACTCAAATCCTTAAACTCACTGAGGCCAGCATTTCTTTGATTTCCATTTTCTCCCACAATGTCCCATTGATCAAAGCTGTTTCCGAGATATAGCTCTTCTAGTCTTGACAAACTTGCTAGAACACGTGGTGGAATCACTTTGAGTTTGATACAATCACTCAAATCTAAGAGCTTTAGCTGGGTTAGCTGTCCAATCTCCATTGGCAATTCTCCAATATCACATCCTGAAAGGCTTAGGACTTCCAAACAAACCATTTTCCCAATAAGAGCCACATCTTCTAAAACACTTCCATTAATGAGTAATGTACGAAGGTTTTTTAAAAGGCAAAGAGATGAAGGTAAGGATGAGAGATGCATATTAGTGAAACTCAAGACTCTAAGTTCTTGAGTTCCCAAAAACAAGTTTTCTCGAATTTTCTTACAAGGATCCTTGCTGCTCAAAAAGAATAAGGTAAGCTGCGGACATTCCAACTGATCGGGGAGCTCACCAATATCAACATTCTCTAGACTAATCCATTTGAAACTTCTCAATTCCTCCCAATTCGGTACATGGTCATCCTTGAATGATTTGAAGTGGTGGTCCCTTGAGGCAATTGATACAGTGACATCATGGACAATATCATGCATATCAAATTGAATATTGCTATGAGCATCACGCAACAAAGAATAAGATTTTAAATCACTAACCAATGTTTGTACTCTGTCTCGTGCTTCTTCTATTGTCTTGACATTATGGAATAAGTCCAAGCCGACACCAACTCTAATCAAGTCTTCAATAGAAGCATTGCGTCCCAACAGGCTGCAAAGTAGGAAAGTGTGTTGAAGTTCTTCTCTTGCTAAATGGTTGTAACTCAATTCTATTGCTGAATAAACCCTTTCAGAATACCCTTCGAAATTGGCTGGTGAGGGCCTTTGCAGTTCTCGCAGAGCATCTCTCCACGCATGAGGAGGCCTACCTTTCAATGCATTTCCAAGCACTTCAACAGCCAGGGGCAACCCAGCGCATTCTTTGGCAATCTCCAGTGCGGTAAGTCGCAAGTCAGGCTTCTCAATTTCATGGCCAACTATCTTCTTAAAAAGCTCCCATGGTTCTTCATCTTCTAATGGGCCAAGTGGGAAATCTGTATGAGTATGCATGATACTTGATAAAACATTGAAATCTCTAGAGGTGAGCAGAATCTTGCATTGCATCTTTTCTTCTCCAATTAAACTTGCGTCATTCTTTTTGTCTTCAAAAGGAATTCCAAGTCCATCCAAATCCAGCCTCGTCCAGATATCATCTAAAATCACAAGAATCCTCTTCTTTTTCTTTAAATACTCCTTTAGTTGATCGGCTCTTCCAGATTCAGTCTCCCTTTGAAGCTGTACACCTAATTGATCTGCAATTTCTCCCTGTATTCTTTTCAGCTCTGGATTCTTCTTCACAGAAACCATAACTATTTCATCAAACAACTGGGCTTCTGTAGCTTGCCTGGCAACCTCTTGGGCTAACATGGTCTTGCCGACACCAGGCATCCCATACAGGCCTATCTTGTGAACAGTAGCACTTCTCAAGGCCTCCATAATACCACTCAAAGCAGAGTTTCTTGAACCAAAGTCCACAAAACCTTCAACTGGTGTTGCATATTTTGCCCGTGCAGGAGCGCGGTAGGAATCTGGGATCTTGAATTTAGCAGCTTCTTTCAAGAGTTGAGCAATAGCCTCCAGATTCTCCTCTGCTTTCTTGCTAATTTGGTAACGGGCCTTGCAATTAGGACAAACTCCAGCAAAACACTTCTTCTCCGCGTTGGCTTCGTCATCCCCTAACTTCTCCATCTCTCCAATGAACTTGTCTGCTCTATCCAGCCAATTTTTGACATTCGATCCAGCCTCGTCTCCTCTTCTTTCAGCAGCGTCAATAAACTGCTGCACCCTCTTGCTTTCATCCTTCAGCTCCCCAAGTTTTTTCGTCTGATTCCTGATGTTTGCCTTCCACTTGAACACGCGAGTGATTGGGCTCCATATTAGCTTTAAAATTCGATCAAACAACTTCTCTGTAACTTTGCCAACAACAGCAGTAGCAACAGCAGTACCATACTGGGCCATCTTCTAATTCTGTTTTCCTCCCCTTTTTTTCTTTTTTCCTTTTTTTTTTCTTTTTTTTTTTTTTTTAGGGAGGTTGAGAAAATATATGTGCAACAAGAGAAAAGCTAAATGAATCAAATGTTAAAAGAGTATAAGTGAGAAAACAGTTGGAGAGAATAGAAGAGAAAGGACGTAATTTTTTTGAAGGGATGTGATATGAGGAACAGAAATAAGCAGAGATTTTTCAGATAAGGAAAAGAACGACTTGGGAGAAGCAGAACAAACGAAATGGTGATCAAGAAAATCGAAATTTGAAGAGGATCAAGCAGCAGCAAGATTAGTTTGAGAGAACCAAACTGAAGAAATATGAAAGGCTGAAGGTAGAATTAGATGCAAACGGTAACTAGTTTGAGAGTGAATGAAAACGAGAGGCTGAAGGTCGAATCAGAGTAAATATGGTAATAACGATGGTAGAGGGGATCAATCAGCAAGGTTAGTTTGATAAAATCAAATTAAAGTTAAGGAATATGAGAGGCTGAAGGTAGAATCAGATATAAGCAGCAAGGCAAGTTTGAGAGAACCAAATTGAAGGAAAGGAATACGTGAGGATGAAGGTAGAATCAGATA